GGGACGCAACCTATCGATATCAGCAAAGCCAACCGGTACAGCCAGGAAGAGGATTCGGCCCCTCAAGCAACGACTCCCCTCCTGCCACCGTTTATGGGCGATGAATCATCCTATCAGACCGCGTCTCGCGTCCATTCTCCGTTACAATCTCCTTCAGTAGCCGACAATATGGTAGATGACGGCCCAGTTGTCTGCAGCGCTGTCGCCGATTTGCGATTGGCAGGCTTGCCTTCGCCACCCCTCTCGTCCAAGCCATCTGTCGCATCGTTCAATCGTCCTCGAGCCAGTACGGTGCGGACGGTCTCGGGAGATGCGCCTCCATTCACGCTCTCCGACCCAAATGACGAGTGGGCGAATAGACTCGGTCATGCCAACTTCACCATCCAGCCGGAGCCTTATGCACCTGAGACCTGTGACCTGGGAGCTTTTGGGCAGCTGCGCGCAGATTGGGACCTGGCTCAGTGCAACTTCATGCGCCATCTCGTGCGGACTGGCGAACATTATGGTGTTACTTCCACGATCTACAAGCTCACCGAAGAGAAGTGGGAGTCCATCAATCGCGAATGGCGCCGCCATCATGAGGCGATGCTATCTGAGCTAGAGGTGACAGAGGGACCCCGTCTTAGTTTGATGAAGTCCCACTGTGACCCTTGCGACCCGGTCAAAATCCCTCGCCTTCACGACAACAAGTTCCCCGAGCTAGGCGATGGCGAGATCGTGGGTCCTATGAAAATCGCTCCAGCAGCGAATGGATCCGGACTATGTCGCACCCGTTCGTTGAAACGCAACTTTGTCAAGTTCTTCCAGGATCTCGTCATACGTTCCTGATTTGACCGCCTTGACACGAACATGGAAACAATTAATGACCATAGACAGACTGCGGGAGGCTTACGATGTATACCATCTTACGACTTTTTCTTAACGCCTCTCGAACGATTGATTCAGCGAGTGATGACTTATGCCTCTCCTATAGTATACACGTTTCGACGGATATGTTTTATCTTTTTTTTTTTTTTTTTTTTTTTTACACTGTTTCTGTTCAAGATCTGTGATTGCATAATGATGACTGATGACCTGTGCACCTGCGACTACTGACTCGCAGAGTGCAGTCCGTTCCTTAATGTTTGATCTCTCTGCATATGCACCCTCTTCCCCTGTTGTTAAATACTTGTTCGCGCCAACATGTATTGATAATGCTGTACACTGCCCAGCATCTCCTTTGTGTGTGTGTTCTCTCTGCCGGCGATGCATTCCTTGCGTCATTGTCCTTGGCACAAAAAGTAACCGTTGGGTTGCACCGTCTAATGACTGGAGAGGGGAAAGTCTGTGGATGCAAAGACAGGGGAAAGAGGGGAGCATGAAGCAGAAGAATTACGATTGTTGCAAGCAAAAGTGGCTGGGTTACCCAGCGAAAAGGGAAACGAAACCATTGCAAGGGCGCTTCCTGGTGTTCTGTTCTGTCTTATACCCCAAGGCATGGTTCTTCATTCATTTATCCTACTTGAATTCTACGTTTTGCTGCCCCTTCCACAAAAAGCCAAAAGCATATACCTATTATAGATACATGCCTGTTCTCTGTTCGCGTTTCTGTACACCCCAGTGTATATATACAGATACTACTATTAGATACTACCTAACTAGACCTACATATAAACTACATATTGGTACTACTTATGACTCACCCACCACCCACTAACTATAACTAATCATGATGCCTTCAGTTCCCTACGGATAATTATGGTTCCCCGCCCTTGCTTGCCCACATGCAATGCATATGCAGTGTACTTTGTTTCCCACCCCCAGTAGTAAGTAGTAAGTATGTATGTAGTCCACAGTTACTCAGCCCCCCTTCCCCTCCCCTCAAAGAACCAGCCAGCCAGCCAGCCAGCCAGGGTCAGACTCAGGTCAGACAAGTCGCCTGATGCATACATGCGCGGGGTCGACCGCCTCCCCCCCCCACCTCCCTTCGACAGCCACCCGAATCGAGTAACTCGTACCGCGCACATGTAGCCTAAACTTAAGTACTTCCGTTAATTATTAGCTGGTGGCTAGCTAGGTAGGGTCTGGCAGATCGCTCGTTCGGTCATTTACATTGACTGTTCTTTTTCTTCAGTCATGCATGCAGGCATGCATGTATTTCAATCCCGCTAGAACTAGGTAGATAGATAGATAGTTGGTAGAAGAACGCGATTAGCCCGTTGCTGCATATGAATGACTACGTAGGCAGCAGCTATAGTAGCAGTGGGTAGCTGGAGTTGTTTATTGGTGGTAGTCTAGTTGAGCTGAGCTGAGCTGAGCTAAGCAAAGCTGTGTTCCTATGGTTGCTTCCAGATGGGGCAATGTTCTATGAATGCTAGTGGGTTTGTTGGGCGGGCGGTTAGATACTACGTACATAGAATAGTTGTCTTCACACCCAGTACTGGCCCCATAACCTTTTGGCGGTCTCGTCTCCTCGGAAGCGGAATTCCACACGGATGATGTCTTGGAAGCCTTCTGCCATTGACGGTTCTTTGAATCGGCGGAGGAAATCTCCAAAGGCGATTCCGGGGAGAAGGGTGCGTGATTCGGGGTTCTGGGTATTGGATGGAGAGTTAGTATTGAGTATGCATCGACTGGTAAATGAGTGTATATATGCATGTATGGGTATAGGTGTGTCTGATGATCTGATAATAGGTAACGATACACGTGTGACCGTTGGGGAAGATGGTTTTATGGGTGGAGTTGGTATAACCACCACCTACCTCCATTCGAACGACTCGGAATGGGGAGAGCACAAGCTATAGGTTTGGGTGGGAGGGGAAGAGGGGACAATGGGGATGCAGTGCACGCGCATCTTCATCTCGCACGGACTTACCAAGGTTTGATTTGCGGCACGGACCGCATTATTATGCCGGCAGAGGGCCGGGGAAGCTGTGAAATAGACACAACGAATCGGGACGTTGAATTCCTTAGCGACTTCTACCCAGTGGGATCTGGTTTCCGGGTCGGCGTTGGTGTTGTCTGTGCGTCTGATCAGCGACGAAATCTAACCGTTCGTGCATGTGCAATAACACCGTGGTTACTGAGGAAGAGGGGGGATGGATCGCAATATGGGCTAGGGTTGGTGTAGCCTGGCTAGACTCGAGCCCGGGAAATCGACGTTGTAAACCGTCAATGCAAGGGTGAGTGGGTTGGTCTCTTGGGGAAAGACTGCCCCGTTCATAACGTTCACGTACCGACAACCACGGATCTTCCGGCTGCAAGGTGTTCCTTTGCCACTTTGATGCACTTAGGGCGCTGTGTTAAACGGCTGGTTAGATGAGAGATTATGCAATCTTGGTAGTACATAGATGTGGGTTGGTCGTTGAGGCGTCTATCTGCTGCGCGAGCGAAGCCCCTGCCACTTTTGGGCTTGGCGTAGAAGGGGGTGTTGGAAGGAAGTAACCCGTAGAAGGGCTGACGATATAATGAAGGAAACGTACAGTTTTGAGCAGGTCTTGGTTGACTCGTTCGTATTTCAGCGGTTCAAGATATTCCCAGTAAAATGAGGATTTGCCCGCACCAGGGCTGCCGCAGAATATCACCAGCTCGAGAGGACTCTGGCGAGAGAAAGGTGGCGCCACTGCATCATGCAAGACAAGTTGTCAATAGGGTACTCTGATGGTCGATTCACAATCACCCCGTGCATTGAGACTCACCGTCGTCAGTTGGCTCTGCTTGCAGGTATATTGTCGGATCGAACGGTTCCACGAGTGGCTCTGGATCAGCATTGAGGAAGAACTCCTCGGGCGTCTTAAAGGGTACTTTAACATTGAGTGCAAATCCGCTTGAACCGCCGTTAGCGTATCAAGTCCGTGAGTGTGCTTCAAAAGGCCAGCCCTACCGGTCGACCATGGAATGATCGTTCGGCCGTCCAGCAGCGTCCCCGACAAAAATGGACTCTGCCAGATTGACCCCCGACACATCAAAATCATAGTCGTCGAGCATCTCCTTCCATAGACCCGTCCTGGGTTTCCTATATTCGTCATCTTCTGTGGCCGCATATACACTGAGAGGGATGTCCAGTTGTTTCATGACAGCCGACGCCCTCTCCTTGAAGTTGACAAGGCTCTTGGAGTCGCTCTGGCCTTTCTTAAGATCTTTCTTGAGACTGATCTTCTTTTGATTCGTTACGACCACCACGTAGTATCTGCACAGAAGAGAGATCAATATCCTGTTGTCCGGAAGCAGTCCGATCAAGGAACTATAAGCCAACCTACGACATACCCATTGTCGTTCAATTCCTTGAGTTTCCCAGGTACTGTATCATGCCACCACTTCCAATCTGACCCATTCCTGGGGAATGTATTTCCAGAGGCTGTCGAGACGAGCGTTGAATCCTAGGTGCGATGACCTAGTCAGTCTCGAGCTCGTGCAATGATATACCGTAATTCGCTGGATGGTCTGGTTTTCAACTGACCAGGTCAAATGCCGCGATCCTAGGCTTCTCCGTACTATTTTTGTGACCGATTTCCGAAGTATACTTGCCAATGACCGCACTGTTATTGACAATGCGCCAAGTGATCTGTTCGGGCTTTTTCTGAGATGCCGGGGTAAAGAATGAGGAAACGGCTTTTTCTAGTATTCATTAACCCTATTAGTATAGGAATGTACGAAGACAGACCAGGTATGCCTCACTAGTTATGGTAGACTCAACCTTCCTTTTGAGTGGAGGCGGCGAAATAGCTCGAGTGGGGGAAGCTGTACGTTTCACGCCCCCGCCGCCGGCCATCCTGAGATACTGGAGTCTGGAAATAATCTTGAATATGTTTACCGGGTACCGCGGTTCTGAATCTAGCCGAAAGAGAGATACGTAAACCGCGACTGGATGGCTCGAACTGGTGTCGGATTCAAAAGCGGAAGTCGACGCGCTGACGCGCGCCTGAACTTCGCGAAGTCACATGCTTATATTGACGGCTCATTGCACCCATACAGTTGATGGATGCTACAACAGCACCGCTGACATCAAGTGATGTGTATGTCTTCTATTGAAATTTGCTTTTCTAAGAAGATCTCAGCACTATAATTTAAGGCTCCCAATGACAGATTTGAATTTCCAATGATTTATCTACTGAGAGCCATCAACTCCGGGGTATATAGCACGGCTAAAAAGAAATGATAATACATGATTACTTCGCTCGCGTATCCAAAGACAGCCGATCCGCCATCTCTAGACGGACGGCCGACTTGAGCTGCTCGCGAAGCCCGAACAAATGCTGCGAAGCCGTCCTCATCATCTCCTGGTTCCCGCCATCCTGGACGGTGATAGCAGCTTGCAGGACATAGCTCCCTGTCCGTTCCAGCGGTGAGAGTTCCTGATAAGCAGGCAGCTGCCGACGAGGTCCATGTGATTCCTGCGTCCCAGTCGGGTAAAGCAGGACACGGTGTAGGAAGATAACGATGTCATTGAGAACAAAGACATCCCCTTCCACCACGTACTCGGTGACAAAGCTGAACCCAGTTTGTCAGCTAACTAGGACCAATCAAGTGACGAAGGAGCTGGATATGCGCCGAAGAGTACGGGATGCTACTAACCTATAGCCCCAGGCATTCATGGGCGCCGTGATATCACCTTTAGGCAGCGTGGCACTGGCCATCAGACGAGCAGTCACGGCGGATCGAGTGCCTGCCTCGGGAATATCTCTGAATTCCAGTTTCCAGGGCTGGTCCTCGTAACTGTAAGACGATGAAGACGACGAGGGCTTCTCCTCCAATCCGGACATGGAGACATCGGGATCTCCAGATGAGGAAGGGTTCCCGCCAAAGTCGGCTTTGGCCACGGGACCGACTACTTGGGTATAGAACATGCCGCCATTGAGCATTTTATTAAGGCGCTGCAATTCGACACCCTGCAGATCTTGACTGGCCCCAACCCGGGTGGTGGTCAAACCTGGCTTGCGGTAGGCCTTGAAAACCAAGCGTCTTTCCAGGCGGTGACGGGGTTGCATGGCCGTCAACCCGGCCAGCTGTTGAAGGAGCTCATGATGCTGGTGCGCGGGGACCGAGGCGAAGAGCAGAAGCTCATGCATAATCAGAAGAGGAAGAACCGGGGTAGAAATCGAGACGAATAAGAATAGTAATTCGGGAGTTTCGTTCAAGCCTGTCTGTAGCTCCCTTAGCTCCCGGCCGGCTTTGCTCAGGGAAAGACGGAACACATCAGGCAAAGCCGCAAATCAGGCAAAAAGCACGGGTGAAGTCGGGTCGGAGACACCTTCCGAGTGTCCACTTTGGTCCGGCCGGTAAGTAATATTGTTATGGTACGGTAACTGCCAGACAAGTCTCGAGAATTCAGTAGTAACACAATAGTTGAACAACAATCCACTTCCTGGCTGGGCGGAAAACGCGTGGGGAGATAACAACAATCATGTGATATCACGCGATTGCAACTCCGAGGAGAGTTAAAACCAGGGATTTCAGTGTGAGCGGCAAATGCTAGAAGGCAAAGTTTAAGAAGACAACAAATGAACTATAACTAAAAGATTTTTTGAGATTTAAACTTTATGACTTTTTTCTTTTTCGCTGTTCCTTTAATGTATGCTTGTGTTGAAAATTTCCCCTTTTGGACAGGGCTAGTTGGGGTAGACTCATCCGAGCACATGCCAAGATGGGGGGAGGGGAAGGAATTTACTATTAGTGAATAGTGAGGTTGAGTTGCCCTCCTTCCCAGGGCTTGCGGGGGTCAGATCCCGGAAGGTAAAAAGTACAGTCTAAGTCTTACATAGAGTGAGGGTGTACGTATGTGCATGTGTGAGGGGGATCACGCCAGACTACGTACTTGTGATGTTTCTCCGCTCAGGTGATCTAAGATAAGAGAGGGTTTGTTACACCAACTGGAGCATCCTAACGTCCTCCGGGGAATCCTACGAATGAGGGGAAGCCGAAAAGAGACGTGCAGGTGAAAAGCGTCGGGAGGAAAGGCGATTAGAAGGGAGCACCGATGCAGGTCCCCCAAAATCCAAACTCACTGACCAGTCAGGCACGGGTCTTCCTTCACCGGGGATGCGGGTTTGGGCAAGGATCGGGACCGTCGGGAGTAATCATCAGGTGTCAATCATCCTAACACTATCAGTCTAATATCTGATTTGGGGAAAAGATGGGGAACATGATGTCGTCGCTATCGAATTGGCAATGAGCAGCTAGTACCGACTCGACCGAATGGTCTCTGATCATACCACAAGCAGCATAGAACCAGACGTTGAGGAGTAGTAATCGTGCCAGATTGATGGAAGGGTGGAAGGCAAAAGCCCGGATCACAAAATCCGGCGGCGGGTTTCTCGTTAATAACCCGTATTACTCCATACATACCACCAAAGCTGGGCTTATCAAAAACCCACACCCTCGCTTCCGCTCCGACCCTCGTCGGCATTTTCCCTCTCCTCCTCCTCCTCCTCCTCCTCCTCCTCCTCATTCATTTCTTTTCCCCTTCCCCTCCACCAGTCTTTCCAATTCTCCTCCTGCTCTTTTCCCTTCGTCCAGACAGCCTTCTGTACAGTCCTTGCCTCTTTTCTTTCTCAAAATATATAGGCCTTCTGTGTCCTTGTCGTGGAGAATCCGCCTGTCTTCCAAAAGCTTCCTCTTCCACTTCCGACTTATTAATCGCTTAATTCGGTCGCGTCGGACACCAGCGGTTTCCCTCGATTCCTCGCTTTTCATCCTTACGATTGCCTTATAATCTATAACCCTATCTTCCTTACTCCTACTATACAAAATGCGTGCCACTTTTGCTCTCCGCAGTGCTGCCCGCACCCCCCTCATCCGGTTCCTTGGCCGCCGTTCCGTGCCTCGTATGTATTCCTTCCCACCCGTCAATTCTACGCGCCTGCCTCTTTGTCTAACATGACCCATCTCCAGAGTCCGTTGACCACACCCCCCGTCCTCACCCCGCTTCTCCTTCCGGAATCCTCCCGGACTCTTTCGCCGCCTACCGTATCAAGGCTCAGCAGCACGGCCCCCTTGGCCGTGCCTCTTTCTCTCAGGGCATTGGCCGCAGCGCTGGTGCCTCCCTGGGCCCCGTTCAGCCCAAGCAGGGTGAATTCTTCGACCGCGACGAGCTTCCTGCCCGTTTCCACCGCCTTCCCTGGTCCGAGGCCGAGATTGAGGCCATTGAGACCGGCGGTGCCAGCCTGTTCGCGTAGATCATTCCAGGATCTCACTCAACGAGAGATGACGCAACGGTAGCGGTCACGGGTTGGTGATTGACGAATACTATCATGTTAAAGATAGAGTACGACCATCGGCATGGGGCCGTGGCAGCCGTTGTTCTCCCAATTCAACCATGGAGTAACAGGCGAGTTGTGGGGCCTGGTTCGTCTCGCATCATTGGAACTTGGATGGTACTATAATCAGGGGCTGGGAGCACCGTCGCATACTGGTGATGGGTCGTTTGTTGGCATTGTCCAACCAGGAGCTGCTTCCGTCCCTGCACTTCTTCGATTGCTTCTTTTTATGCTTTTCTTTTCGGTCACGGCGCTGGTGGTTGCTTGTTTCGGAGCTTAGCGGTTTGGATTCCTTGTACTTGGGGCGCGACACATGACGGATGCTTTCTTGTTGTCTGGCTGGGGCTTGCTGAGATATCTTCGGATTTCTGTGCATAGATGGTTGTTTCATTCGGATCCAAAAGTCTGCTGCATGTTGGACTATCCTCGGTTTGCGGGGCTTTGTCTGAGTTCTTCCCTGAGGTTTATTAGTACTATACTGAGGCTCGAGGAGACCTCGAATTCGATCAATCAATTCAACATAACTGTTTGCAGTCACGTAGTCTACTATAGAGAGCTACTGGTCGTCCATCCGAGATTCTGCCGGACTGCAGCGGACAGATGTCATGACACGTGCCCGTATTCTTAGCGTCAGCTCCTGCCACGCAACAACAACTTTCTATACAGCTTCCATCGAGCTACGCGTCTCCAACACCGCGTCAGGTCTCAAACGGGACTTTCATCGAGACCAAAAGGAACACGCGCCACATAATGGCCCTTAAAGAGGACAGCACCGCAATAACCTTCACCGAGGTGGACGAAGTTAATCACCCTACCGCAACTTACATTTACTCCGAGCCCGCAGCGGGCCCTGCACGTCCTGAGCAGGACAAGAAGCATAGAGAGAATTGGGGACGCGTGGATGTGGCAGTACGTGATCTCCAATGTTACCCAATCTGAGCGCTAGGCTGCAAAGCTGTCATTCCGATTTAACTATTTGCTTGGTAGCATGCTTCCTCCACTACTCTGGCAGCTTGGTCTTCAAAGAGCGTTCTAGACTTTCTGATTGAGGTCTTCCTTCCTGCTGGATATCCCCACAGTGTCACGGATGATTATGCGCCGTAAGATATTGTTGATCTCTCTCCCTAGCATTGGGCTCTACTAATTCATACAGATACCAATTGTTTGTATGTGGAAAGCGTTAAGCACACCATGCCGAAGCACTACCATACTTGCCCCATATCAGACTAGACGGCTAATCCACGAAGGACTCTCTCCAAGCCTTCAGCAGCTCGATTGCTGGTCTCCTATCTTCGAGAGCAGTGCTGCAAGGTCGGTAGATGTCTTATTCGCACCAAACAGCTGGCCCACAAACTACCTACCCATACTAACAGCCCTTAGGTGTTGGAGTTGGTAACGCCGATGCTTCCCCCACCGCAGCCCTACTGCTGCATATCCTCCAAGATTCCTCTGGCCGGATCGCGACGATTCTCTTCGCGCATCGGGTCGGTACTGCTCTCGAGCCAGAATGCAAGATGTACCGGCTGGCAGCAGACGTCTTCAACGATCTAGCAATGATCCTCGACTGTCTCTCACCAATGATCCCGGCAGGTGCTCCTCGAGTCACCGTCCTCAGCACAGCAGGTGTCCTTCGGGCTCTATGCGGAGTAGCAGGGGGGAGCTCCAAGGCGAGTCTGAGTGCACATTTCTCTCGCTGGGGGAACCTCGCTGAAGTCAATGCGGTAAGTGATCCAATCAATATTCGAACCCTGCGCCTAGAATCCAACCACTAACCCCCTGTCAACAGAAAGACTCTTCGCAAGAGACAATCATATCCCTCATCGGCATGCTCGTAAGCCAGACATACCCTAACTCCTACAACTCATCTTCCCCAGCAGAACAAACCTGACCAAGAACCTCACAGGTCGGCTCCTTCGTCGTCTCCCGCGTGACCAGCTTCTCCACAACCTGGATATGCCTCTTGATGCTTCTAGCCCTGCACCTCAGTCTCAACTATGCCGCCGTGCGCTCCGTCCAAATGACCAGTCTCAACAGACAGCGAGCGAACATCGTCTTCTCAACCCTCCTAAGCACCGATCCAGACGTCACACAACTCCTCCACCCAGAATCCACCAAACAACAACAACAGCAATCCCACCAACCACCCTCCTGGAAGACCCTAACCCCAGCCCACGTCTCCAAGCAAGAGAAAATCTTCGAAACAGACGGCATCCTCCGCTGGTCCTCCTCACCAATAACTCCCCCTCAAACCCTCGGTTACTGTCGTATAGGCATCTCTCTGCAACAATTCCTCTCCACGTCTGCACTATCCACCACATCTTTTAAATCCCTCCGAACCCCAATCCCAATGCCCCAGCTCATCACCCTCTTCAATAAAGAAGACTACATCCTCTACCTCACCAGCAGCAGCAGTAATAAGAAGACCCCAACATGGCACGCCAACATCCTACTCAAGAATACTACCACAAGTCAATCCCAGCTCAAAGCATGGGCGCATGCCTTGCTGGCTGCAAGGGTTTTGTCGACGTCATCAGCAGCAGCACTACCACCACCAGCGGATTTTATTAGTACCTCGGACCAGAGTGAAGCTACTATGGATGTACTGCACCGGACGTTGGAGTTCCTCAATGAAGGGTCGAGGTTTGATCGGTATACGACTGTGTTGACGGACAATGGCTGGGATGTGAACATTGCTGCGTTAGAGACGAGGTCGGGAAGGAGGGTCGTCGTGTAACTAACATAGCTAGCATAGCTGTTTGTATATGGCTGGATATTTCATTAGTGTACTCTTGTGTACTTAGTAACATGGGTGTTTCTATAACAGGTCATAAATGCTCTGTGACGAGGGATACATAGGTATTGAATATGTAGAAGGAGCATTGATGATGGGTGAGATGGGGTTTCAATACTGTACGGTGTATGACAAGACAGTCTACTCAATCCTACGTTCGAGCACGGAACAAGGTGAAGATAAAAAGCATCCAATCCATGGGTATCTATCGACCAGTACACAGTGATGCTAATGCTAATGCTGATGCAAAGTGTGATGCTAACTAAAACACGGAGGAGAAAGAAAAAAATGCAGTCATGCCCTTTGACAAAAGGGGGATAAAAAACAACTCCCATGCACGCACACATCAACAGAATGTCCCCTCGACACCCCACACCACTCCCCCTTGTGAGAAATTCAATATGGATACACACACACAAAACGCCAAGAGACATAACAGATAACCACCATCCCGTTTTGGAAACCCCCAAGTCTATATGGTTTTGATGATGACAAATGGAATGATGCACGCTGGGTCGCTTGCTTCGATGCAAGTGGAAGAAAAAAGGCAAAAAGAACATGAGACAGAACGCCGGAATATGCTTTAAATCATAATGCACATGCATTACACCGTCCACTCGTAGTCAGTGAGTCAATGCGACGTATTCGCTCAATAACCGAGAGATCAATCATATATGCGGTATCAGGTTATGCAGATCGGATCATGCGGTCTAGCCGATGCGGTGAGAGGAGTAGAGATCAGGATGCCATTTTTGGCGATCCGGCGAGAATTCGGAGCGAAGAAGGCTTTTGAGTGATAAAGGACATCATCAGAGCTTTGAAGCTCTGCCAGATGGGGTGGGATTTCGGTAAGGTTGTTGTCGGCCGGTTTTGAACGGCCAGTCATTCGTCCATGCCAGACAACTTGAAATGTTGGTTGCCAGAGCCTCCGTGGCCCGAGCGCTTTTTGAAGCCCAACTTCAGTCCCATCTTTTTCCATGGGTTGTCGGTGCGCTTCGGGCTGTGGGCCAGGTGCATGCAGTGAGGATCGCTGGAGGGCGGCGTAGTCGGCGGTGTCATTGGTTCGCCTGCACTGGCACTCGATTGCAAGCTTCCAGAGTCATCAGTCAACGCCCCAGACCCGGAATCTCCGCTGGCGTTGGAGACCTGTCCCAAAGTCCGATGGCCGACCTTACCCATGGAAGTCATTGCACTCAAGGAGAAGTTCGAGCGGCTAGGCGGAGAACCGACGGACACCGGCGATCCCAGATCCTTGGAAGACTGGGGAGACTGCCGTCTCCTCTTCGATCGGCCCCGACTGGCCGTGTGCTCGTCGAAGCTGGAGTTCGATACGACGGTGATATCGTCCTCCTGAGAAAACAGCGGCTCCGATAGCGGCAGAACGTGAGCGGTCGAAGCATGCGAGTTAAGAAACGGCAGAAAGATCGACTCCTCCATTAGATCATGGACGAGTTTTACGGCAGCGTCCAGGGTTTCGGGAAGCGGCGGGTTAGGGAGATTGGCGTGTCGAAGGATGTCATCGCGGACCTCGCTGGAGACGTTGATCTCTCGTGGAGATCCGGGCAGAATGTAAGCGGTCAACAGTCGCTGCCACAGCATACGCAGATGCTGGCTGCCGGTGCAGTCGGTGACGATGGGCGATTCATTCAGCTGGCGGCTCAGGGCATCGTATGTTTCTCGGTACCGCTTGGCCTCCAGAGTGAATTCCAGGGTCTCCAGACAGTGGTTCTGCGAGAGATAGGCCATAAAGGCACTAAGGGTGTACGGGGCAGGTGCAGTGTTGGCCAGCACCTCATCTAATGAGGGACGCATGGGACAGAAAGCACCCGGAGGAACCGTCAAACTCAGCGGACGCGAACCGGAGGAGTCCATGTCCTCGTCCGACTCGCTGTCCGATGAGGAAGACGTGGGAGAAAGCTCAGGGGTGGTACTGGGAGTATGGTGTCGGAAGAGTATGGGAGGATGCAGGGTCTTCTTTTTAAGCATCGCGTACAGCGTGCGTCGGTCACTGGGGTACGGCGCAGGTGTGGTGAAGCCCCGAAATCCACCTCGTTGTTGCTGTAATCCTCCGAGACAGCCCAGGCAGTGAATCCGGTACTTCGCCAGTCTTGAATGTTGAGTGGCCACCCTTTCCGGAGAGGCCAGACTCGTCGATAAGAGAAGCCGTGTTTCAGATGGTGAAGCGTAAAGAGAGACAGCGCGACGGTGAGGCGGCGGCACTGAGCGGGTAGAAAGGCTGAAGCGAGAACCCGGCGATAAGGTGGTGAGTAGTGGTGGTAGTAGTGTAAGGTAGAGTTGAGTAGATAAGTGAAGACCTCAGTTAGTGAAGGATTGAGATCTGTTGGTGGACAAAGGATTGATTAGTCGATTCGATGTCCCGCAGCAAGGGTATAGGCAGCAGCAGCGGTTTTTCCAGAAGGGTCAGAGAAGACGGGGGGTGTGATGGGAATGTATTGGAGGAGGAAAGTTGGTAATTGGGGGCAAGGAAAAAGTAAAAAACGGCTGTTAATAATAAGAGACAGGACTAAGGCCAGGCACAGCGATAGTAGTAAGTTGTAAAAGGGAATTGAGAAAAGAAAAGAAGATGACGCCACAGGAGACACAGCCGAATGGCAGAGGGAAGAGAGAGGGGGGGAGGATGACTGGTAAGTATTCAAATAAGAGGACCAGCCATATCCAGAGGGTGTGAGTGAGAGAAGAGTGGAAGAAACAAGGCAGGACGGGCCAGTGGTGGGTGGAGTGAGGTGATGCCGATCAGGACCCCTTCAAAAGTTCTCAGAACCTGCACGGAAACGTCGAGCACCCGGGGGGAAAGAGCGAAAGAGCGAGAGCGAGCGAGAGAGAGAGCCCAGAGAGGGAGGGGGCCACACAGGAAAGTGAGAAGTGAGTAAGTGGAGTGGAGAGAAGCCAGCCAGACAGAGAGAGAGGGGTGGGGGACCCGCCAGAAAGTGAAAATCGAGAAGAAAGTGGATGGATTTGCTGGATTTGCTGGCCCACAGGAACAACCGGCGGCCCAAGATTTCCTCACTTCTAGAGCCCATCCACGTTGGCTGGCAGTGGATGCTCTCCCTCTGCAATTCCCATGGGAACCTCGCCTTCCCACACCACGAATCACCGCTGACGAGACTTCCCGGTCGATCGTACCCAGGATGAGTTCCAGCCTATCACGCCGAATTCGGCGGGTCTCTTCAGCCAGTCACAGTTGCAGCCCAAAGAGATAATGCCACCCACCCCTCCCAAAATGTAAAAGTAAAAATCTAATCGGGAAAGGAAAAACAGGGAAAGTCGAAAATGGTCCAAAAAGAAAATCGTCACTTTGGGAGAGACAGACAGAGGGAGGGAGGGGGGCGCTGCTGCGTATTTCTTTGTCTCCTCCTTCCCAATTCGGCTTTTCTCTTTCTTTTTCTTTTCTTCTTTAAATCCCTTATTCCGCTTATTCTTCAAAGAGAGAAGAAATTAATGCTGGGAAGGGGAAGAAGGCCGGCAGGAAAAAGATTCCACGCTGATCATGAAAGCAACAATGACTGACTGACCCCAGACAGACTTTCTAGAACCACAGACACACTCTCACGCACCACACACAACACACATTGGAGGGATGAGGACTACGCGGCTAGTAGATAGTAACAGAGGCATGGCCAACCAGGAGAGAATCACGTCATGCCCCTAAGGCATACCTCAGACACTAGCCCAGAGAGTGACTCGCAACCATTGCAACCCAAAAAGGATCTGAGAGGCCAAAAGGTGGAGACCATGAATGGAAATTGGCTCCCGTCGCTGGTCTTGAATGGATCACCAGAACGCGCGATGGATCTCCGGCCGATGAAGTAATAATCCAGAGTTCCAGCTGCTGGATGTGAGGCCGAAGGTGGGTCCATAGCAACGCAAGTTTAGCGTTGGGGCAGTCAAACTCGATGGTGCAAGGTCGTGTTGTGTGTGGTTTGTGCTGCTGCCGCCGCCGCTAACTACTCAATCCCATCGTGGTGTGGAATATAAAACCGGCCATGGTGGATCCTGGCGCTTGTTTCTTCTGCCCTTCAACAATGACTGACTCGAGAAGAGGGCCCTCTCTCAGCTCTGTGGATATCCCATCTGCCTTGGCCTCGCGTAGTGCTCACTACCACTATGACTGTCTGGCAGTCTGCGGTTGTTGCTATGATGGTATGGACCAGGTCGATCGATCGATCGACCGGCGGACCCCAAAGCAATATCCCGTCATGGATTGCAGTTGAAACAGCATAGTGGAGCGACCGAAAATATGACAAGCACCATGGGGTAAGAACAGAGCCAACACAAAAAGATCAAGAAATTAAAAATTAAAACAGAAAAAGAAAAGAGAAAGGGGCCGAAGGAATGGGCCCAAAACCGTAAGGAAATTGAGGGAAATAAGAAAAAATAGCTTTCTAGAAAGAATGAAGGAGAAACCAATGTCGTTCACTCACCATGCGTCAATTGAAATGCGACCTCCCGCAACAGAATATCCGTAGAAGGAGACCGGCAGCAAGGGGGCGGTCGCCAAAACGCGCGTTCAACGCCAATATATCTCAACGGTGCAGCAACGAGGTAGGGGAAAGAAAATCGCTCAGGGCTGATCAAAAATGATAGATAGCGGAGCTTATGTAGGTTGCAGGCAAGTAGGCAGGCAGGCAAGCCGAAAAAGAAGCAGGCGTGGAGTTTAATTGTATGTATGTCTGTATGTACGCTGTAGGTATTCAACGCCACGGTAGACAGAAGTAGAAAGGTAAATGTGATATATGATATGATGCACCCTACAGCAACAAGCGATATTCCGCAACGGGAGAAGGATAGTAGAACAAAATTAGAAACTCGGACTGCAACAACTCATTAGGCGCCCAGGAACCGGATTTCTTGCAGCTTTTGTATGGAGAAGGCGCCTGAGTTCAATGCAGAAAGCTTTGATCAAGTTGATTGCCTGATGCGGTTTGGGAGCAGAAGAGAGAAAGGGAAGGAAAAAAAGAGGTGGTGGCAACTGGGCTCGTATGTGCCAGTCTGGACCCGATCGCAGTCCGCCGTAGCCCCTCTTAGGCTTCGAAGTACATGTACTTGAGCCCTTCCGGTGACCGCAGCAGGTCGCAGAGGTACCAGCTACATACATACAAAGACACAACTGTCAGCAAACAAGCTGGGGTTTGCATTGCCGCTGTGCTTGAAACCCACGCACAAGTGAGCCAATACCAGATGCAAGAGCTGCCTAGATGCAATGATGAATCCGTTAATTAATCCTGCCCAGATGTGTTGTCGCATCCACAAGACACATGGCCATCTACTTGGCGCAAAGATTACTCTAGATGTAGTAAGTAATAAAACGAAGTTCTGCCCACTACACCGGAACGGCGAGACAAAGAATACTATACCACGCCCGAACGGCGTACTCCGAACATTGTTTCCAATTCCTTATAGAATTAATTAAAATCCCATGTAGACCTAACCTCATCGTGGACGTTCTTCCCACCGATACGATAGCTGTACCAATCCGGAGTCGGAGAACAACTCTCCGGATTGGCCCCCCTCTCAACGGACGATAATGATGAATATGATCTCAAAGGCGCACGACGGCCTAACGCTGTCGTGCAGAGCGGCCACCCCGCAATGATTCGTCAAGCTGGCGCAGGATCTACAGGATGCCAAGCAGGCTGTGCAGCCAAAAAGGCAAGGGGGGAAAGGGATACATTCATAAGGGTTCCACCAGAAGACCAAAGGTAGAGAGAGGGAGAAAGTCTGTAGAGAGAGCTTGCAGGTGGTTTGATGCAGAGAGAGTTTTGAGCCTTATGAGTGCAACCCAGACATCCATTGGGACGATTTCAAACCCGGCTGCAGCAAAAGCATGGTGTGGGTGAGTAGTGAATGCCTGTCGGGCCAATTCCCTTCAGGAAAAGAACCTTCCTCATGTGCAGTAGCGTATAAAAAATTGGTGGTTGCTGATGGTAATGAGCGGATCTGCAAGCCAACGAGGAAAGTGTGGTTGCAGACAAAGCATCTCCAGCAGATAGGAGTTGCGAAAGCTGCGTGCAACTGTTCTTCGCGGAGTCAATCGCGGAGTCGACTGGCTCCAGTTATGGGGTAAATAGTGCCGTGCTACGCTGGAATGGTTTTAGTACAGGATAACATCATCGTGCTAAGCGCCATCAGCTTCTGAGCGCCAATTCCGATTATTACCCAGGAGGTTCAATCCCCATCCACAATCCTTTGCAACGTCCAATCCGGGGGCGGAACGGCTGGACGGCGTGGTATCACCAGTAATGACCCTTGTCCGGGGGTTGTGTTTAGTGGCTTTCCCCAAACGCGCCTGCAAGGGCCTGCAGACATGCAGCATACTGGTGTATGTGTCACAGGGTGGTGGTGATGGTTAACGAGAAGAGCATCCTCCGATCCCGGTGTGGTCGCGGTCGCGGGCTCAGTGTCAAATTCCGGGACATTGATTCATCATTGCAAACCGTAGTCGGAAAACCAGCCGACAAAGAAAAAAAAAAAAAAAAAAAAAAAAAAAAGGAATACGTACTGGAATTTCTTACCTTTTCCAGAACACGAAGGAAGGCGCAAAGAAATTTCGAGGAATGCTGGTTTGCCCCAGTTGCGAACCGCAAGGGGAAGCGAGAGAACCAGCCCAACCCTTGCGGCATCCACTAATGAGATGGCAACTGGGGAGGAGGGAGGGGGGGGCTTTCGGCCCGCCCGTACGCAGTTACTGTTGATTGTGACCAGTCAGTGGCCACGCCTGACGAAAAGGCAATGAGAGTGTGTGGCATTAGCGTTGCCCAAGTGGTCGAATTCTGGCCAGTTCCGAGGGTCCTCACGGCTTTGTGGATTGGTGGTGCCACCCCCCACCCCCCCATACACACACGCACAACTAATCCACCAGCCAATGCCAGCAGAGATGGATGAGCAACGTGTTTCCTTTTTGAGGTTGGCGCCTTTAAACGCTGTGCTCACGAGGTGCAGTGCCTTCCTTTATCTGGTCCAGAAGCTTGTTAGCGGCTGTGGAGCATGGCTCTCGGGGCGTCTTTGCCAGGCCTTGGCGCGATAGGGGCATATGGTTTGAAGTCCTTCTCCTTCTCTTTACTTCCTTTGGGCAAGTGCATTTTATGACCTGCAGGTACTGTTGATACAGTAGTAATCGAGTAGTAGGAGTATACTTTAGAATATTGCGAACCTGTTACCTAGCGTTCAGGTGTCATTCTGGGTGGCGGACGGGTCTTGATGTTGTGTTCTAGAATGACATGGACCTTTTTCTCACCAGTGTATCTCATCGGATGTTGTTGTGCTACCACGTAGTCCCTGTCAAAGAAAAGGTTCTACGTCAGCACTAGAAAGAAGCCATACAGAAGGTTCCATGGAGTGACACGGCAGGCGAAGACTCGAGGAGGCGTACAAGATCTACCGCCTCCCTTGATAACGCCATCAGCAACAGCATTCTAGTAGCTTACGAATGTATGTGTTGTGTAAATTGGAGGGATTTTCTGAGTTACCATCCATCAATTCGAACAAGCCACACCCAAATAACGTCATGTACCTGCTGTGTGATGCCCGTTTGCAGATCAGTCTAGCACCCAGTAAGTAAGTGGCTTGAAAGGTCGAGTGACACTTGAATACGACACAGATTTATGGTCCCGGTAACCTTACTGCCTACATGCTTGAAGCTTCTGAGTTAGGTCATCTCAGGACGGTCACGCCTGAGTCATCTTGACTAATTGGCTCTGCTTATCAACTTCCATTACATCTTCCATGGGCTGTTGTGCCACCTGATTGATTGTTCGTCGAACGGATGCCGGGGTCGTCGCATCAACTGACCAGCAGAGCAGATCATCATGAAATTCTAGATTGATCATGGAAGCTTTCGAAGGAAATTTTTTTTTCTTCTTTGCACAACGCCACTCTATTAATGTAACAACAACAAGCAACTTTGCATATCACCAGGGACAAAATTGTTCTTCGGCCATCAAAAATGGAAAAGCGCTCCGATATGCTCCGGACTGATAAAGAAAGAAAGAAAGTCCTTGGCGACGGATCGGGTGAGGGTGGCAAAGCAGCGCGGTGGCTTATCAGTTGGCAAATGAAAAACTATTTCGGAGTGCTGAACCTAATCTTTAGGTTAGTGAAGTCGCTGCTCCTCTGGGAAAGAGCATCATCGGAGCCTTATCAAACTTCGGCAGCATGAATATACCAAAAATTGAGCCCATCTCTCTCTCCACATATCAACTTAATTATCTACTTACTATCCGGACTCGAAGAGTGATACGTAGATAGGGCCACAGCAACTATGGAGTACTAATGGAGACAAATTACCTAATCCCCGTGCCAGTTCACGCCGACGATTAGCGACGGTACCCGCCCTGGCACTTATCCTCGTTTGCTCCATGTTTTACTCATTAGTTAGGACTTAGTTAGGAGGGGGCAAATATTGGGTCCAGCCAACAAGGTTGTCGGCACCGCCCGCACACCGAAACCCCAAAGGTAGAACGGAGTACCGATAGGGAAAGTTAAGTTAGGTATCAATTTGCATCGGAGGTAACACCAAATAACTATCTAATAGCTATGACTAAATCTGGGTATAGTCATTTTTCGCCAATGGTGGACACACCAAAATTAAAAAGTCAATGGTCATGAAGCTATTCGAGTCGATATTGGATACCTTTCGCCTCACTTCTCGTCTCATAGCTTCCTGCATGCAGAAGTAGGATGCGAACAAGAGCCCACTTGCAGAAGCAACTTCTTTGGAGCTAAGCAGGTAGCTGCTGCTGCTGCTGCTGCTGCTGCTACCTACAGCTCTCCATCTTTCCAGCAAGCTAGCAAGTTGAACAACCATTCAGAAATCCATACGTACCTACAGCTCCAATTGACCCCATCGTATCGAGGGCGCTGCCAAGGGCTGGTCACCACGTGTACGACCTCAATTGCTAAATGCGCGAGACCGCCACGAAGCCACGTTTTCGGCCAGCTGTCAGAAGAGAAGATTTTTTTTTTCTCGTACAGCTGTTTCTGCCTGGCAGGTTTTGACACACTAATTGCTGGCAGCTTACATTGATGGTGAAGTTGGCGCTGTATGTATGCACTGCACCGATTGGAGACTTAACAATTCTACGGGAGTTCGGAGTCAACCGAAGGAGCAACAAAATCAACCGTAAATCACCTACAACGTACTAGTCACAAGCCTCCTATGATCGACGACAGTCAAGTCATTGAGCTACTACTACTACTTCAGTATCAATCCTGGCAATGAAAGGACCCTCATCACCCATCTCATCTCTTTCGCCATCATAAACTTCTACTACGTATAGTACTCCATACTTGGGCTCTACGAAAGAACGACCTCCAAGTCAAGATCCACAATTTCTCCGTGGTCGGCAATACACTATGCCGCCGCACTAGCCAAGAAAACGAGTTATGACGCGATCAGACACCGCATGAGAATTGAGAAGAGATCTCTGCAGAACCAGAACCCTTACACGGGAAAAGGCAGCGAAGAATAGCCGGTCAGTGCTAACGAGTGAGGCAGGATCATCATAGTAAGTGGATGATATAAGGAAGATCCGGACCAGGGCAGCCCAACGCGATAAAAAAGACAAAAAAGCCTGAAGAATATGACGAAGTGGCCTGATGCCTGTCTGTCTGTCTGTCTGTCTGTCTGTCTGTCT